CCTTGATGGTAGCATCTCTTCCTACGTGTCCAGCAGTGATACCATCATGACATTGGGTCATCACCATGAATCGCAGATGCTCTACAGAGAGAGACTGTCCATCTACCTCTTTGGCACTCCTTGAGTGTCGGTTGTTGGTCCTCCCTGGCATGATCACCTTGGGGATAACCAACCTTCCTCCACTGTACCATAGGTCATCCTTGAGTTCGAAAGGCTTCTTCCTATGTATCTCCTGTAGCTCTTGGTCTAAAGGCTGGAAGATCTTGACCAGGTCTTTGAGACCTTTTGATGCTATGGACTCCATCGAGATCATGGGGGCCACTAGGAGCGAGTCATGGTCTGCTGTCTCCTTGAACACTCGAGGAGGCAGTAGTTGCCTTACATTGTGATCCTGCTCTTCACCGGCTGGTTGCATGTCTGTCCTTCTGGTGAGAGCATCGGGCTCACCACCTTTGTCTCCTGGTCGATACTGCAATATGAAGTCGAAGTCTGCTAGTAGTATTGCCCATCGAGCTTGTCGTCCTGTGATGCGTCTCTGTGACTTGAAGTACTTGAGGGCTTCATGGTCAGTGAGGATGACCAGTTGGTTCGGTAGTCCAGCTAGCATGTGTCGCCACTGAGTGAGGCAGGCGACCACAGCTAGGAGCTCCTTATCATGGATCTCATAGTTCTTCTCGGCAGAAGACATCTTCCTAGAGTAGAAGGCCACTGGATGCCATCGTCCTTCATGCTCCTGCTTGAGCACTCCTGCTATAGCAAAGTCACTTGCATCAGTCTCCAACCTTGTTGGAAGGTGGTAGTCGAAGTGCTGAAGCACTCCTGCTGATGTGAAGGCCTGGATGAGCTTGTGGAAGGCCTGTTGGGCCTCCTCTGGTAGCTCGAGCTTCTTGAACCGTTCTATAGGCTTTACCAGTGCTGTCAAGGGCTTGGCTATGCGAGCAAAGTGGGCTATGAACCTTCGATAGAAGTTGGCAAAACCCAGGAACCTCTGGATGTCATGGATTGACTCTGGCATTGGCCACTCCTTGACAGTGCGCACCTTTTCTGGGTCCATCTCTATGCCCGTTGGCTTGATGATGTACCCCAGGAACTCGACTGTCTTGGTGTGGAACTCACACTTCGACAGCTTAGCAAAGAGCCTGTTGCTCCTTAAGCGAGTGAGGACCTCGGTGACATGCTTCACATGTACCTCTTCAGTGTCACTGAAGATCAGGAAGTCATCTAAGTATACCACTACATATACTCCAATGATGTCTCGGAAGATGTCATTGATGAATGACTGGAAGTGAGCCGGAGCATTGGCTAGGCCAAAGGGCATCACTAGGTACTCATAGAGTCCCAACTGAGTGCCAAAAGCTGTCTTCCATTCATCTCCTTTAGCAATCCGGATGAGGTTGTATGCTGCTCTAAGGTCTAGCTTGGTATAGATCCTTGCCTTCCTGAGTAAGAACAGCTGCTCCTCGATGAGGGGCAATGGTGCCCTGTTCTTGACAGTGATCTCGTTGAGACCTCTGTAGTCCACACAGAGTCTGAGACCTCCATCCTTCTTTGGTACGAAGAGCACTGGTGATCGTGCTGGGCTCTTCGATGGTCTTATGAACCCCTTCTCGAGGTTCTCATCCAAGTATCTCCTCAACTCGGACATCTCCTTGGGTCCCTTAAGGTATAGGGGCCCTTGAGGTGGCTTCCCTCCTTCTATCAACTCGAGGTGGAGATCATGCTCGGTATGATGGGGCAGCTTGTCTGCTTCCACCTCATCAAACACATCTCGCAGGTGTTGGTATGGCTTTGGTATGTCTGCAGCCGTCACCACCTTATCTACCTCCACCTCCATCTCGACTCCTTTGTCTGCGCCTGTAGGTACAAAACCAAAGGCTGGGAGTGATGATGGTGGCTCCTCTAACAGCATGAACCCTATGGGTCCATCTTCCAGAGCTGCTCGTAGTATGCGCTCTGCTGAGACAAACTCGTTACCATGAAGGGTTGGTCTCCTCATGGTTAGGTCCCCTGCTCTTGCTGCTTCAGGGGGTCTCCTAGGGGGTCAGTCCTGCTCCTGAGTCTTGAACTCCAGCTGGCCCGTATCCCATTGTATGGTAGGTTTGAGCCTCCGTAGCTCAGTGAACCCCAGGATGAGGTCATAGTCTGCAGTGTCGGCCACTGAAGCTTCGACCACACCCAGATTGTGTGTACCAATAGATACCTGCATGCTCGCAGAACTATTGATGGAGAGTTGGTGCCCGGTGACACCATGGATCGATCTTGTTTTTATGGGTTTTGTGGGTATTTGGTACTTACTAATGAAAGAATCTGAGACTATGGACAAACCAGCACCGGTATCAGCTAGTATCCGAGCAGGATGGTCTTGAACCATTCCAGAGAGCTCCAGTACTGCTTTGCCTCCACTGGTAGAGAAACATACTTGACAATCTTGATATATACAGAGTGATGGCGAGGAGGTTTGTAGAGCAATGCATGCCATCAGTGCATCACCCCACTGACGTTTCCCTCGTCGTCATCATCATTGTGCTCCTCCTCGTGATCGGGGTCCATGGGTTGCTGGTATGAGCTGAGGTCCATGGCCTCGGGGTCACCCGTCTCAGTGCTGCCTGTGTGGCCATCTCCTGAGTCGGTGGCCTCCTCGAAGGGGTCTGCTGTGGTGACCATAACCTTTGGTCCCATGGGTCGAGAGCTAAGAGGGTCTACCCTCCTGCTGGGGCAGTCTCTGGCCCAATGGCCAATACCTTTGCATACATGACAGGTGTTGATACCTGATGGAGCAGGGCTTCCTTGCTTCGAAGGTTGGGTGGGATGGTGAGGAAGGGGTCGGTTTAGGTTTTGTATAGTTGCTTGTGATGGTGATCGAGCTGGATAAGGTTGAGTGGGTTGTCGGATGGGGATTGAACTTTGATTTGGCCGAGACCCAGTTCTTAGTGGAGGTGACGTGGCATTTGGAAGTGAGTGTCTAGCCGAAGACTGCTGTAGTAGCATCCTCTGTCGATCGATCTCCTCGACCTCTCGATACCACTCCCATCTCTTCCCAGGTGGATTCCTCTCGAACTTCTCCTGTATGCTACGAGTGAGACTACCCCTGAAGAGATCAATCACTAGCTCATTGTCATCTAGGTTGACCTGTCCTTCCAAGTCTCTGAACCGCTCTACATGACGTGTGGCGGCACCAGGAGCATCACTTGTGAGTCTGAGAGCCAACAGCTTGTTGTATGCCTCCATCCTAGCATTGCGTGGGTTGAACTGCTCTGACAGTCGATCTGTGAAGTAGTGCCAATCATTGAACAACCTTCCTTCTCTAGCTCTATCAATACGGAGCTTGGAGGTCCACCACTCTCTTGCTGTCCCTTCCAGTTGAGCACCCATGTGATTGATCATCCTAGACTGCTCATACACCTGGTTGAACTTAAACCATGCTTCGGCTTCTAGAATGAAGATCTCCATGTCTCGGGGATTGAACTTTGGAAAGGGGGTGGCAATGGGCTTTGACCGGTTAAGTTCTGCCATGATGCTGGTATCCTCCTCGTGGTCCAGGGGGTAAGGGTCCGTCCTAGTCCTGCTGTAGGGGTCCAGCTTAGTCTTGACATATCTTGGCCCAGTAGGTGAAGCATACTTCTCGTAGTTGATGTCCTCCTGCTCATCCAGGTTGAATGAGACTGATCGTCTTGGTCGTGGAGCTGGAGTAGGAGTATGTGGGTCTCCTATCATAGACTCATCTCCTCCTCCTGCTTGGTCTTCTGAGTGAGAGAGGTCCATTGTCTCCTCCCTGCTCAGTTGAGCTCGTTGTAATCGTTCCTCTCGATGACCCTGTCTGGTAAGCTCTAGCTGTGCTTCCAATAGAGTGAGTAGTCTATCGAGCTTATTGTTGAGGTCTGGGTCCGTCATGGTGATCGTGAGGAGCTGCTTGAACGATCCACTCTAATGTCAGGGGTCTCGCGCCTGAAACCCAGGTCGGTCCGTCGAGATACTCGGTGACTATCAAACTGTGTGACAGCTATTGTCTCGGTATCGGTGACTATCAAGTTGTGCAGTGACAGCAGGTGGCGTTCGTTGTATACACTATCGTAGGTTTCGGCTGACCTCTGTGGACACTCCGTTCAGGGGTAGCTCGGCACGATCGATATCAATGTTATGATGACACCAAGGTCTGGTGTGAGTGTTAATGATGATGAGGTTGATGGTGTTGGTGATGGGATTGGTGATGTCGATGATAATGAGGTTGATGGTGTTGGTGATAAGGTTGGTGGCGTCAACACGAGTGTCCAGTGTGTTGACTTGATGCTTGAAGTGATCCCCGGACCGCAGTGGACTACTGCCTTCGGTTCTATCTATATCCGGACCGCTAACCTGCTATAGGCGCCTTCGGACGTCAGGTAGTGGTGATACAACACACACACTACGATGAGGAGCAACCTTGATAGATTGCTGCTATGCTGACTGAAACTAATGTATACTTATGCTGAAGTGATAACTAGTTATGGTGAGTAGAGTGGATGGGGATCCACTCGACCTATGATGATGAGAAAGCATGGTTATATACCTCTTCACAGCATTGCCAGCGATGCTGCTCCTGCTCTCTCTCCAGAGAGTACCTTCTTCATCGAGTATTGCTCAGGGGCCTCTCCTGCTTAGCACCCCTGTGCCTCTTGTCGACACTGCTCCTCCTCCTCATGACCTGGTGTCGACTCCTTCGACACTGCTCCTCCTCCTTTGCTCAGTGACAGTTCCTTTGGCTCTTGTCTCTCGAGCCCCTGAATGGTAACCATCTGCATGCTCCTTGAGCTTGGTCCTCTTCGTGGCTTGTGCTTGGCCCTCCTTTGCATGTGAGTCCATAGGAGTCCATGGTCTCCATGGAGACTGCACTACGACCATGCTCTCTACTGGTGTCGACTAGGTCTTCGATACCTGTGCTCCTTCCATATGAACCCATGACCCTCCTGCTTCTTGAGCATCCAGGCCCATGACACCCCTTCCCAAAGTTCAATCCCTGAGACATGGAGATCTTCATTCTAGAAGCCGAAGCATGGTTTAAGTTCAACCAGGTGTATGAGCAGACTAGGATGATCAACCACATGGGTGCTCAACTGGAAGGGACAGCAAGAGAGTGGTGGACCTCCAAGCTCCATATTGATAGAGCTAGAGAAGGAAGGTTGTTCAATGATTGGCACTACTTCACAGAGCGACTGTCAGAACAGTTCAACCCATGCAATGCTAGGATGGAGGCATACAACAAGCTGTTGGCTCTCAGACTCACAAGTGATGCTCCTGGTGCTGCCACACGTCATGTAGAGTGGTTCAGAGACTTGGAGGGACAGGTCAACCTAGATGACAACGAGCTAGTAATTGATCTCTTCAGAGGAAGTCTCACTCGCAGCATACAGGAGAAGTTCGAGAGGAATCCACCTGGGAAGAGATGGGAGTGGTACCGAGAGGTTGAGGAGATTGATCGACAGAGGATGCTACTACAGCAGTCCTTGGCTAGACACTCACTCCCAAATGCCATGTCACCTCCACTAAGAACTGGGTCTCGGCCAAATCAAAGTTCGATCCCCATCCGACAACCCACTCAACCTTATCCAGCTCAATCACCATCACAAGCAACTACACAAGCAACTATACAAAACCTAAACCGACCCCTTCCTCATCATCCCACCCAACCCTCGAAGCAAGGAAGCCCTGCTCCATCAGGTATCAACACCTGTCATGTATGCAAGGGTATCAGCCATTGGGCCAGAGACTGCCCCAGCAGGAGGGTAGACCCTCTTAGCTCTTGACCCATGGGACCAAAGGTTATGGTCACCACAGCAGACCCCTTTGAGGAGGCCACCGACTCAGGAGATGGCCACACAGGCAGTACTGAGACAGGTGACCCCGAGGCCATGGACCTCAGCTCATACCAGCAACCCATGGACCTCGACCATGAGGAGGAGGAGCATGATGATGATGATGACGATGAGGGAAATGTCAGTGGGGTGATGCACTGATGGCATGCATTGCTCTACAAACCTCCTCGCCATCACTCTGTATATATCAAGATTGTCAAGTATGTTTCTCTACCAGTGGAGGCAAAGCAGTACTGGAGCTCTCTGGAATGGTTCAAGACCATCCTGCTCGGATACTAGCTGATACCGGTGCTGGTTTGTCCATAGTCTCAGATTCTTTCATTAGTAAGTACTAAATACCCACAAAACCCATAAAAACAAGATCGATCCATGGTGTCACCAGGCACCAACTCTCCATCAATAGTTCTGCGAGCATGCAGGTATCTATTGGTACACACAATCTGGGTGTGGTCAAAGCTTCAGTGGCCGACACTGCGGACTATGACCTCATCCTGGGATTCACTGAGCTACGGAGGCTCAAACCCACCATACAATGGGATACGGGCCAGCTGGAGTTCAAGACTCAGGAGCAGGACCGACCCCCAAGGAGACCCCCTGAGGCAGCAAGAGCAGGGGACCTAACCATGAGGAGACCAACCCTTCATGGTAACGAGTTTGTCTCAGCAGAGCACATACTACGAGCAGCTCTGGAAGATGGACCCATAGGGTTCATGCTGTTGGAGGAGCCACCATCATCACTCCCAGCCTTTGGTTTTGTACCTACAGGTGCAGACAAAGGAGTCGAGATGGAGGTGGAGGTAGACAAGGTGGTGACAGCTGCAGACATACCAAAGCCATACCAACACCTGCAAGATGTGTTTGATGAGGTGGAAGCAGACAAGCTGCCCCATCATACCGAGCATGATCTCCACCTCGAGTTGATAGAAGGAGGGAAGCCACCTCAAGGGCCCCTATACCTTAAGGGACCCAAGGAGATGTCCGAGTTGAGGAGATACTTGGATGAGAACCTCGAGAAGGGGTTCATAAGACCATTGAAGAGCCTGGCATGATCACCAGTGCTCTTCGTACCAAAGAAGGATGGAGGTCTCAGACTCTGTGTGGACTACAGAGGTCTCAATGAGATCACTGTCAAGAACAGGGCACCATTGCCCCTCATCGAGGAGCAGCTGTTCTTACTCAGGAAGGCAAGGATCTATACCAAGCTAGACCTTAGAGCAGCATACAACCTCATCTGGATTGCTAAAGGGGATGAATGGAAGACAGCTTTTGGCACCCAGTTGGGACTCTATGAGTACCTAGTGATGCCCTTTGGCCTAGCCAATGCTCCAGCTCACTTCCAGTCATTCATCAATGACATCTTCCGAGACATCATTGGAGTATATGTAGTGGTATACTTAGATGACTTCCTGATCTTCAGTGACACTGAGGAGGTACATGTGAAGCATGTCACCGAGGTCCTCACTCACTTAAGGAGCAACAGGCTCTTTGCTAAGCTGTCGAAGTGTGAGTTCCACACCAAGACAGTCAAGTTCCTGGGGTACATCATCAAGCCAACAGGCATAGAGATGGACCCAGAAAAGGTGTGCACTGTCAAGGAGTGGCCAATGCCAGAGTCAATCCATGACATCCAGAGGTTCCTGGGTTTTGCCAACTTCTATCGAAGGTTCATAGCCCACTTTGCTCACATAGCCAAGCCCTTGACAGCACTGGTAAAGCCTATGGAACGGTTCAAGAAGTTCGAGCTACCAGAGGAGGCCCAACAGGCCTTCCACAAGCTTATCCAGGCATTCACATCAGCAGGAGTGCTTCAGCACTTTGACTACCACCTTCCAACAAGGTTGGAGACCGATGCAAGTGACTTTGCTATAGCAGGAGTACTCAAGCAGGAGCATGAAGGACGATGGCATCCAGTGGCCTTCTACTCTAGGAAGATGTCTTCTGCCAAGAAGAACTATGAAATCCATGACAAGGAGCTCCTAGCTGTGGTTGCCTGCCTTACTCAGTGGTGACACATGCTAGCTGGACTACCGAGCCAACTGGTCATCCTCACTGACCATGAAGCCCTCAAGTACTTCAAGTCACAGAGACGCATCACAGGTCAACAGGCTCAATGGGCAATACTACTAGCAGACTTCGACTTCATATTGCAGTATCGACCAGGAGACAAAGGTGGTGAACCCGATGCTCTCACCAGAAGGACAGACATGCAACCAGCTGGTGAAGAGCAGGATCACAATGTGAGGCAACTACTGCCTCCTCGAGTGTTCAAGGAGACAGCAGACCATGACTCGCTCCTAGTGGCCCCCATGATCTCGATGGAGTCCATAGCATCAAAAGGTCTCAGAGACCTGGTCAAGATCTTCCAGCCCTTAGACCAAGAGCTACAGGAGATACATAGGAAGAAGCCCTTCGAGGTCAGGGACGACCTACGGTACAGTGGAGGAAGGTTGGTTATCCCCAAAGTGATCATGCCAGGGAGGACCAACCACCGACACTCAAGGAGTGCCAAAGAGGTAGATGGACAGTCTCTCTCTGTAGAGCATCTGCGATTCATGGTGATGACCCAATGCCATGATGGTATTACTGCTGGACATGTAGGAAGAGATGCTACCATCAAGGCAGCTCAACGACATTACTGGTGGCCAAACATGACAGCTTGGATTGCAGACTATGTAGCAAGTTGTCCTGTATGTGCTAGGTACAAAGCTCCTCGTCATCGTCCATATGGTTTGCTACAGCCACTAGCAACCCCAGACAGGCCCTGGGGCTCCATATCCCTCGACTTCATCAAAGGACTACCACCATCAAAGAAGTATGACTCCAAGACCTATGACTCTATCTTAGTCATTGTCGACAGGTTAACCAAGTTTGCCATACTAGCTCCAACCCATAAGACAGTCACAGCCAAACAGACTGCAGTATTGCTATATGGACACATGGTTAGACTCTTTGGATATCCAGATCACATGGTATTGGACCAAGGCAGGCAGTTCATATCAGGAGCATGGAAGGCATTTGCAGAGCAAATGGGTGTGAAGCACTCACTTAGCACAGCTTACCATCCTCAAACCGATGGTCAGACAGAGAGGGTCAATCAGGTCATAGAGCAATACCTCAGGATGTACTGCAACTATGAGCAGGATGACTGGGTCAACCTGCTGGACACTGCAGCCTTTGTGTACAACAACACAGTCCACAACAGCATTGGTGTCTCACCATTCTTTGCATGCTATGGATGGAACCCCAAAGCTCATCCTGACATCCCTCGATGACTAGGAGTCAATGATCCAGGTCGCTTCGAGTACCTCATGGATGGAAAGGAGCGTTGCAAGTACCTCCAGGAGCAGATCAGAGAGGCACAACGGAGATCAGTAGACCAGTATAACAGGAAGCACAAGGACATCGAGTTTAAGGTGGGTGATATGGTCTATATCAACCATCGAAACTGGAAGACACGGAGACCCACACCCAAGTTAGATACCCAGTTTGCAGGGCCCTACCCAGTTCAGGAATGGGTAGGACGCCGAGCTTATCGAATCACATTGCCAGCAAACCTTAGGGTGCATGATGTGTTCCATGTCTCCATGCTCGAGCCAGCAAGAACAAGTTCTCTTCCTCAACGTGCTGAACAGCCCACCATACCATCACTTCCAGATGAGGACCTCGACTTCGAAGTCGAAGCACTCATCGACAAGCATTCACACAATGGGACTACAGAGTACAAGGTGTTGTGGAGAGGGTACTCAGAGGAAGCTGCTTCATGGGAACCAGTAGAGAACCTCAACTGTCCCGACCTCATCCAGGAGTATGAGGTGTCGGAGGGGGGATGAGTGAGTAGACAAAGTAGAGAAAGGAGGAGAGAACAGGAGGAGTAGAGAGAGGAAGAGGAAGGAGGATGATGTTGAGAGAAGGAGGAAGGATGATGTTGGCGATGTTGTCGAGGAGGAGGAGGAGGAGTCAGCATGGACCAGACCAGAGCATGCCTCGACGGAGCTCGGCTCTTAAGAGGGGGGTAGTGTCATGGGCCTGGATGCTCAAGAAGCAGGAGGGCCAAGCACAGCCACGAGGAGGACCAAGCTCAAGGAGCAGGCACAGCCACGAAGAGGACCAAGCTCAAGGAGCATGCAGATGGCTACCACTCAGGGGCTTGAGAGACAAGAGCCAAAGGAACTGTCACTGATCAAAGGAGGAGGAGCAGTGTCGAAGGAGTCGACACCAGGTCATGAGGAGGAGGAGCAGTGTCGAAGGAGTCAACATCAGGTCATGAGGAGGAGGAGCAGTGTCGAAGGAGTTGACATCAGGTCATGAGGAGGAGGAGCAGTGTCAAAGGAGTCGACACAGCTCAAGAGGCACAGGGGTGCCAAGCAGGAGAGGCCCCTGAGCAGTACTCGATGAAGAAGGTACTCTCTGGAGAGAGAGCAGGAGCAGCATCGCTGGTGATGCTGTGAAGAGGTATATAACCATACCTTCTCATCATCAAAGGTCAAGTGGATCCTCATCCACTCTACACACAACCATCATAACTAGTTATCACTTCAGCATAAGTATATATTAGTTTCAGTCAGCATAGCAGCAATCTATCAAGGTTGCTCCTCATTGTAGTGCATGTGTTGTATCACCACTACCTGACATCTGAAGGTGACCCATAGCAGGTCAGTGGTCTGGATATAGATAGAACCAAAGGCAGTAGTCCACTGCAGTCCGGGGGTCACTTCAAGCATCAAGGCAACACACTGGACACTCGTGTTGACGCCACCAACCTTATCACCAATGCCACCAACCTTATCACCAACACCATCAACCTCATCATCATCAACACTCACACCAGATCTTGGTGTCATCATAACCTATGCATTGATATTGATCATGCCGAGCTACCCCTGAATGGAGTGTCCACAGAGGTCAGCCGAAACCTATGATAGTATATACAACGAATGCCACCTGCTGTCACTGTGCAACTTGATAGTCACTGATACCGAGACAATAGCTGTCACACAGTTTGATAGTCACCAAGTATCTCGACAGACTGACCTGGGTTTCAGGTGCGAGACCCCTGACACTTGCTTGGCACCCCTGTGCCTCTTGAGCTGTGTCGACTCCTTCGACACTGCTCCTCCTCCTTGCTATCCTGCTTGTTTGGCACCCCTGTGCCTCCTGAGTGGTGTTGACTCCTTCAACACTGCTCCTCCTCCTCATGACCTGGTGTCAACTCCTTTGACACTGCTCCTCTTCCTCAGGACCTGCTTGCCAGTGTCCTATGACTCTTGTCTCTCGAGCCCCTGAGTGGTAACCATCTGAGCTTGGTCCTCTTTGTGGCTGTGCCTGCTCCTTGAGCTTGGTCCTCTTCATGGCTGTGCCTGGCCCTCCTTGCATATGGACCCAGTCCTTCTTTGCATGTGAGTCCATAGGAGTCCATGGTCTCCATGGAGACTGCACTATGACCATGCTCTCTACTGGTATCGACTAGATCTCTGATACCTGTGCTCCTTCTGTCTGAACCAGTGACCCTCCTGCTTCTTGAGCATTCAGGCCCATGACACCTTGCTTGTGCTAGCTTGGGTTTCAGTCTCTTCTGCCATGCTGTTGGATGGCTCTGTGGCTCAGTTGGTGGAGCTTCAGACTCTTAATCAATTGAAGAATGCCAAGGCTATATGCTGTCCAGAGCTACCAGCAAGCTTGGGTCCACAGGTGTATGTTCTTGAGAAAGGTCTTGTATTTCTTACTCATTAGTTACATCTTAATGGTCATATATATACCTTGTTGCCACCTTTGATCATGCCCAAATGAGATGAGCTATCTCCTATATACCCCTGAGTTGTCACCTTTTGTAGTATAGCACATGATCCGTTGGTATGACAACCCTCATGTGCTTCATTGTCTTCATTGCCTGTGCATGTTCTTGGCCTCTCAGTGTCTCAGCTAATGCTAGCGCATCCAGGTTGGAATGCTGACGCAGCTTCAACTGCGGGGCAGACACGTTTGGCTTGCCTGATCTGAATCTCTGCGAAAATGGCGTGTTGTTATACAAGTTCGGTGTTGTTTCGTGCGATTGAGTCCAGGCGGGATAACAGAATTTGAAACGCGCGACACGACACGAGCCTCGCTTCAGGGTCCAGACTTGCAAAGGCGTTGAGTGGAGGAATTGCGCAGAAGACCAACACATTCAAATTTTGAAAGAGGTGGCTATAAAGAAGCAATGATGGTCTTGGCCACTTCCAGCTATTCTCCCAGCTACCAACTAGTTGGCGCTCTGACGCCAAACTCCCCTATGGTCCCTACCTTGACATTGCCTCTTTCCATCGCCACACGCCTAGACGGATTCGCGCCGACCATAAGCGACAAGTCTCGGGCGGAACCGACTCCCTAAATGCCTGACAGCTGATCCGATCGATTGCTCTGTCACCCTGGCGGATGCTTCCTGACAAAAGCTACCGTCATGACTCTCGACGCTGTCGATGCTCTGTTCATGGATGAGCTCTTTGCTGACCTCGATGCCTCTCACTTCTCTATACCGCCATCTCAGAGTCCGCCAAAGAAGAAACCCCTCTCACTACCAGCATCGTCACAGCAACTGCACACAACACCCAAGACGAACGGCACACCTCTTCGCCCACATGCTGCTCGTGATAGATCTCCACCCAAGGACTCGACCCTTTTTCAGTCCCAGCCGTCAGTCGAACGCGACCTTGAGGACCTGTTCAAAGAGCCGCCATTCTCTCAGGTGCATCCAGCTCGCCGTGTCGTCTCAGCTTCCGGCATCAAGCGCCAAAAGATCGATCATGTCGAAGCGACAGCCTGCGAATCCATCCACTCGGCCTCCGATCAGCCATGCGAGCAGTGTCGGTACACGCGCTGTCGTGTTGTGGCGATAGTCGAAGGAGAATACGAGATCGCTGTAGATGTGCCTGGTGCCTCGAAGCGTACGCGACCGGAGAAGCTGCTCATTCTAGAGACGGACAAGCACAGCAAGAACAGCGGACAGGTCGGTCCGAGAGAGGGAACAGTAGGTCAAGCAGCTTCAGGCGACCAAGTCATCACCTTGCTAGCATCCTTACGTGATGACTGGCTCCAGACCATCGTTTCGGTCGGCAACATCGTACATCTTGTCGGCCACTTTGAGAACGAAGCACGGAAGATACCAATCGCTCTGGCCCAATCAAGAGCGCAGTCGGACAGGAAAGCAACACAGGATTTCAGGTCGTCGCCAAAGATCGAAGTGACCATAGAGAGACACGACAGTGCAGCCGACGAACACTCCAAAGTCAACCACATGGACGATGACGATGATCTCTGGGATGACTTGGAGTCAATGCCTTCTTTGTCGCAGTGCGCCACGCAGGAGCTGCTAGCCTCTGAGGAAGCACCTCGAGCAGCTGTGATGATCTTTGCCTCAAGATCTGCTCCGTCGCGGGACCTGACACAGGCCGATCACGCCCTCGACAACCTGTTGGTTGTTCATCCCGATGTTTTGGTTCCAGCGACTAAGGTCGCAGATGTGGCCTCCTGCATTCGCAAGCCTGTCGTCCAAGATCGACTGCGCGGCGCATCAGATGTGACCGTCAGCCTCGTCATGGGCAACATGCTACACGGGCTGCTGCAAGTCTGTCTGACGGCGTCGACCTTCCAACAGTGCTCAGAGCCATCACTGCATCATGATCACGATCCCCCACATGGTCAAGCTGTCGAAATCATTCCAGCCGTCTCTTGCTGGCCGGAACAGTGGCAAGGCATTGGTGACTTCAGCAGGTCTTTCGTCGAAAGCCAGGTTCAGGAGCAAGTCCGCTCCAACATCGAAAGCTTGTACGCCACCGAGCTCAGCGCTGACGAAGCAGCAACCCAATTGCGAGAGAAAGCTGCTCCATTCGCTCATTTTGCACGTACCTTCTTGTTCAAAGAGAACGATGTACCATTCCATCCAGAAGCCACCCTGCGCGAGTCTAGCCGAACGGCAGCGGCCACCCAGGCTAAGGTTCGGCTCAGCCGCATCCTTGACGTGGAAGAAGAGATCTGGAGTCCTGTCTTCGGCCTCAAGGGCAAAGTCGACGTGTCTGTCGAGTGCGACATCCTCGAGGGCGCTGACTCTCATCCGTCGAACCAGAACATACCATCCTCAAAGCAAGCGTTCTCACGAGGTAAGCGAAAGCACGCGGCAAGCGAGGGACAGAACCAGCGCATTACGACGTCGGTGGTGCCGCTCGAGCTTAAGACAGGTCGAGCTGAGGTCATCTCGACAGAGCACCGTGCTCAAACCATGCTTTACACGCTGATGATGTCTGATCGCTACGGCGTTACAGTGAGTGACGGGTTGTTGTACTACTCCAAATCCGGAGAGCTACATCGCATCAGTCGGAGCAGGAACGAGGTGCGTAGTCTCATCATCGGCCGCAACGAGCTTGCCCACTACCTCCGTCACGACACGGATCGACTTCGGAAAGCCAAGTTCGAGGAGCCGGAGGCAGAATCAGCACCTGTGCTGCCACCCACGATCGACAGTGAGCACAAATGTCGAAGGTGCTATGCGGTCGATGGCTGCATGCTCTTTCGCCGGGCCATCGAGGATGTCGTTGAGCCATCCGACGTCGCTGTTGCCGATATTGAAAGCAAAGGTATGCAGAAAGCAGGCAAGGTATTGCTGCCAAGGAGGACGCCTATCGCTGACGTCTATGAGCAAAAGACCGAGCATCTCAACGATGTCCATCTGGACTTCTTTCGCAAGTGGGATCGCTTGCTCAATCTCGAGGAAGAAGATGCTGTACGCTTTCGCATGGAGATGTGGACCATGACAGCCGAACAACGCGAAAAGGTCGGTCGATGTTTCGGCAACATGCGTCTCGAGATTGTCCCGGACACTTCCTCGCCTGGTCCCTCCGGCTCGATGCGGAAGGTCGTGCATCGCTTTGTTCGTCACCATGACCCAACTCAGGAAGCGGAAGCCGGCTTACTCTCCGGTCACATCACTGTCAATGACCCTGTCACAATCTCGATCGAGCCAGACATGCTCTCAGTCGCCCAAGGCTTCGTGGCCAAGCTCACGCCAACGGCGGTTGAGATCGGACTAGACCACTCGCTTGATGCGGCTTTGCGAAGAGCTTGGGAGAAGAGTCGTCACAGAAGACAGGCACAGTCTTTCGACCTAGCGTCTGCAGCAGAAGCGACCGTCTTCCGCATCGACAAGGACGAGCTTGGAAGCGGAATGGGCCGCATCCGAGCGAATCTCGCTTCCCTCTTCTTGTTGCCACAAAAAGGTGGAGATATTAAGCGTCGTGAGTTGGTTGTTGAGATGCGACCCCCACGGTTTCTTCAGCCAGCTCAGTACGAGGATGCATTCTCTGCACCCACTCCGCAGATGTCCGTACGCGATGTTGTCGCTCAAGTGAAAGCGGATCCAAGTGTCAACGAAGATCAGAAGCTGGCCATTGACAAGGTTCTCTCGGCTCAGGACTATGCTCTGGCCCTTGGTATGCCGGGAACAGGAAAGACCACGACGATTGCCAAGCTTATTGAGTTGCTCGTCAAGCTGGGTAAGCGGATCCTGTTGACTAGCTACACTCATTCCGCTGTGGACACAATCCTACGCAAGCTCGCTGAAGATCAAATAAAGACAGAAGGCGGCAGGCAAAGTGAGATGCGGATTTTGAGACTCGGCAACAAGGACAAGGTACACCCTGATGCCAGACAGTTCTTGCTTCCGCGTTGTACAACTCTCGAAGAGCTCAAGGATGCTTTCGAGTCTCCAAACGTCGTCGCTGCAACCTGTCTCAGTGTCCACCACACCTTCTTCTCTTCGGGTCTGGCGAAGCTCCGTGGCCGCGCCGACACGGACGACACATCAGTTCCTGCCTACCTCTTTGACTACTGCATCGTCGACGAGGCTTCGCAGATCCCACTGCCGACATGCTTGGGTCCGCTCAGGTTCGCAGACAAATTTGTCCTGGTCGGAGACCATCATCAGCTGCCACCGCTTGTCAAGAATGCAGAGGCGAAAGCAGGCGGACTGGACATGTCTCTGTTCAAGCTGCTCTCCGATCGACATGGAGCAGAAGCGATGGTGGCGTTGAGGTCACAGTACAGGATGAACGACGACATCATGAAGCTCTCGAACGAGCTTGTGTATCGAGGTGAGCTCAGGGCAGGTACCGATAGTGTCAGGGATCGAGTGCTCGAGTTGCCCAACTTCCAAGCAGCGCTGAACTATGTTGGGGAAGATGCATGGCTGCAGGACATGCTGCGGCCGGAAAGCAAGGTTCGGTTCTTGGACACGTCCAAGCGACTATTGGAGCAAGTCGGAGAGAGCAAGCATGGCGAACTTGTCAAGAACCAGTTCGAAGCAGAGCTCGTCGTCCGTTTAGCTTGGGCACTAGTCGCAGGCGGATGCAAGCCAGATCAGATTGCTGTCGTCACGCCTTATCGTCAGCAGATCAAGCTTTTGCGGACTCTGCTTCTCACACAGAGCCAGACGCAACTGACACAAGCAAGGGGAGAGGATCTCGGAGAGATAGAGCTGCTTACGGCGGACCAGAGTCAAGGAAGAGACAAAGATGTCATCCTCGTCACTTTCACTCGGGCAAACTTCAGCACCGCTATGGATGCTGCTGGCAACACAGGCGAGCTGCTCAACGACCTGCGCAGACTCAACGTGACACTGACGAGGGCCAAAAAGAAGCTGGTGATGATCGGACATAGTGCCACGCTCAAGAGTTCAACAGTGATCAAGCCGCTCCTAAGCTTACTTGAGCGAGAGGGTTGGATCACAGAGATTTGAGACATCGCTCGTGGTTGGTTTAGAAAGTGATGTAAGATGGCATTGCAATTCGATCAAGGCTACACATCATGACGATTCCTTCTTGTCCTTGTCAGACTGATTGTTGTTAGCATCGCCGAACTTGATCGCTTGAGACCCGAATGAGAAAGCACCCGGCTTTGCAGCCGTGCTTGCCGAGAAGTTGACAAAGTTGCTGCCGGAGGGTGGCGAGGACGACGCGCCGAAAGAGAAGGTCGGCGAGGCACCCGTCGATCCAAATGCTGTCGGTTGAGTCTCGCCACCTGCTGCAGCACCGAATGAGAACGAAGGCGTTGTTGTTGACGGCGTGCTGGTCGACGAGCCGAAGCCGCCGAAGGCTGGTGTACCATTGTCCTTGCTTGCTGTACTGCCGAAGGAGAATGCTGTGGCTGGTTTGGACTCGCTTGAAGTGGATGTCGGCTTGTCACTGCTGCTGCTGCTTCTAGTATTAGAAAAGTTGACAGGTTTGCCGCCGAAGGAGAATCCGCCTGAGCTGGTTGGCAGCTTAGGTGCACCTGGCATGTTGCGAGTTGCCTCTGCCTTCTTCTTGTCTTCTTCCGACGATGTGATGATCGGCTTGCCACCGAACGAGAAGCCGCCGCTTGGGAGCGAAAAGAAAGGCGGCTTGACAGTCGACTTGGAATCCGAAGCAGACTTGGAGCCAGTCACAACTAGATCGTCGTCGTCATCATCATCTTCGTCCTCCTCACCGCCATCATCCTCCTCATCCTCGTCCTCGTCGCCTTGACCGTCGTCCTCGTCTTCGTCATCCTCTTCTTGGTCGTCTTCATCCTCATCTCCATCGCCATCATCGTCTTCGTCTTGGTCATCTCCGTCTTCGTCCTCATTGTCGCCCCCTTCGTCGTCCTCGTCATCAGCCGGTGCATCCTGTTTCGCTGGCTTTGGGCCAGAACTAGATGCTCCGAAGGAGAACGAGGAGGAAGCAGGAGTTGCGGAAGACTGGGCTGAGCTCGAAGTGGGAAGAGGCGAAAAGGAGAAGCCTGTGCCGGCGGGCTTGGTGCTGCTGCTGCTCGAGCTGGACCCGAAGGAGAAGGAGGGTGCGCTTGAAGCAGAAGCACTGGCAGAAGGTCCACTCAACGTGGAAGCAGGCGTCGTGGCAGGCTTGCTGAAGCTGAAGCTAGGCAGACTGGACGAACAGGTGGAAGCAGCGGAAGGAGCAGGGACTGCCGTGGAAGATGAGCCGTTGGTAGCCGGCTTGAACGGGCTTGCTGTCGCGCTGAAGGAGCCTGTGCTTCCTGATGATGGAGCAGAGCTTTTGGAAGGAGATTTATCAACGCTCTCCCGATGCTTGCGGTACTGGTCCCGGAAAGATTCGATGAGACGGGTCAGGTCGGCAAAAGGGTCTGCTTGGAGCTGCTCCTTGATCTTCTGTGCAATTGTGGCTTGAATGGAGACATTCAAACCACGGAGCGAGCGAAGTGTCTCCTTGCTGCCAGTGGATGTCGAAGCGCTTGAACCGTTGGTAGATGCACCAGACGTGTTCGAGGACGAGTCAGTGGACTTAGGTGCTGCCGACATGTCTCCGAGAATGCCAGAAACGATGGTCGAGCTCTTCGATGGCACTGACGAGGTATTGGAAGCAGATGGCGATGCAGAGGTTGGGGCAGAAGCGTCGAAAGAGAATGTCGGCGCCGAAGCGGTGGTGCCGGAGGAGGTTTTAGAAGAGCTTGCAGCAGGAGGAGCAGCAGACTTGGCCGCGCCAAAGCCAGAGAAGCCGCCAAACGGATTGGCCTTCGCTGGTGGTTGTGAAGCTGTGTTTGTGCTGGAGACTGTGGTGGCACCAAAGCTGAACGTCGGTGTTGATGTTGCTGGAGCCGTTGATGAAGCGCCGCCGAACTGGCTATTTCCACCTAGACTAGCGAAAGGATTAGAGCCTCCCGGTGCGCTGAACGGTGAGGATGATGCCGCTGCTGGAGCGCCGAAGGGAGTTGGACTGGCAGCAGATGATCCTGATGTACCTGGCAACCCCTTTCGCTTGGGAAGACCGCGGATGACTCTACCAGCTGTCGGAGTAGCAGGCATCGATCCTTGTGAGGATGGCGAGTCGTCGTCCGATCCATCGTCTCCATCCTCCCTTCGGATCTGCTTCTCGGCTTGTCGCTTCATCCTTACGATACAACTGTGGCTGCTGTGTTGTTGTGAAGAAGTTGTGTCCAGGCTAGAAGGTGATGGAAATGCTGTTCAGAGTGTGTGAGAGACTCGCTTCATACGACAGAGCATGGACAAGAAGAATGTCGGCGAGGATCGAAATTCTTCTTGGGCTCATGGACACTTGATGAGAATGCTCGCCGAAATCTCAATTCAGAAAGCATCGGCGCGCCCGATTTCTGCATCCGATTCCACAGATGTTCCAATACTGGCGGGTAACCATTTCTGCACCGAAGGCTTCGAACACTCTCAGACATTACTCTTATCTCGCTTCGACCAAGACTACTTTTAAGGGGTATCGGTAGAGTTGCCATGTTCCGGATTGAAAGTACTTCTGATTAAACTTTGAGAGCGCGCACTGAGTTGCCCGCTGCCATAGCGATCCAGTCCGAGTCGTGAGGAGCGAAGCCGGAGGAAGAGCTGCCTCCGCCTGTACTGCCTGCGGTGAACTCGTTCCACTCCTGTACAACGCTCTTGTTGCTACTGGATCCTCCTCCCCCACTGTATCCTCCGACACCTGGCGGGAGGCCACCGCCTCCTGCTCGTAGCCAGGAGACATTGTTGACCATGTCCTGATTTGGTGTGGTATATGCCAGGAAGGGGATCTCTGCACCGATACCAATGCTACCTGCGATACTGGCAGTGGGTGCAGGACTAGCGGTACCTCCGAAGGATGATGAAGAGTGCGAGTAGCCGATGGAGCCTGGTGCTGGTGATGGTGCGTGGCTGTTCCTGCTGCGTCTGCCTTGTGCAGATGCAGTTCGAAGTGTGGTCGAGGCGAGATCATAGACCAGGACTTGCGCGTCGTCAGCAGCGGAGCAAACCATGCCTTTGCTTGGCCCAAGTACTCCAGCTCCGACGGATGGCGGACCCCAAGCAATGGCATTGACTGCCGATGAATGGCCTCGAAGCTCGAGAATGGGCGAGCCAGGGGCTCGAACATCAAGGATCTGTACTGATTCCGACTCTAGATGAAAAGTAGCGAGATAGTTGGCATCCCATGGATTGAAGGCGATGCGTAACAGAGGAGCGGCTGGCGCACTGCGGGTAGATGTCGCTCTCGATGATGTTGACATGCTGGTTCCTGGCCGAGATTCGGTGGCGCCTGGCGCTGTGCCCGTCTCGTAGATGATAGTCGAATGTTCGAGGCTGCGTAGATCAAAGACACGTACACTTCCGTCCGCACCGACACTAGCAAACACATCGGCTGAGCCTGGACACCAATCCACATCGTAAACTTCGCGATCGTGTGCAATGAGCTGCGTCAAGGCGGTTCGAGTTGGCAAATCCCAAATGGTACATGTTGTGTCAATACTGGAGGTGACGATGAGGTTTGGTGATGGTGTATTCCATGAGAAGGACGTGAGAGGGGCTGGCGGACTCTTGGTGTTCTTTGAATGTGCTAAGACGCTCTTTTCGCGGAGCGAGAAGGGTAGCTGTGAAGCCTCGCCTTGTGGTGCACCACCGCCGTTACCGCCAACGTAGCTAGACTGATAAGGATCAGCATACTCGTTCCGGTAGATCTCCCAAATGCGCAGACAGTCGGCGGTACTTGCCAGCAGCTCCCTATCTGGATAGTGATCCGGCAATTCCGCACCTTGGCCTGAGAGTGAGTTGCGCACCTTTGCACCCCAGCTGCCGCGCCTAGCGAGTTTCGAGGTTGGCGAAGCGTACCCGCGCTCGCCTGAGCCCCTCTCCCTGTCCAGTGATGCTTCGCGACGTTCGCCCGAGGAAGCATCGAAGAGTGTCGATGGCTGAAACCCAAGCTTTGTTGGAGGATATGGATGAGAAGCATCTGCCAGCAGAGTTAAAGAGGATGGGTCTCGTGGGTGGAAGCCGAGGATCTGGATGCGGTTTGTATATTGCTCGATGAAGGATCCGACAGCTACCCTGGCGCTATCTGGTGGAGCTGGAGTGGTATTTGGAGGTGGCCCGGCGAACTCATCTTGACGGCCGAGCGGCGATGGAGAAGGAGGAATGTATCTTGCGGAGCCGGATGGATTTCGCGGATGATAGGATGACGAAGCGGTAGAGGTCGACGGATGGTTCGACCATGCCAGTGCAAAGACAGGCCATGGCGCCTTGTATTCTGCTGTCGGTGGCATCGTGGCAGGCTAGCAGATGGTTGATGGAGATCGAATCCGTTGTATCAGCAAGAGAAGACGACGCCAAGTTCGAGGCACAACCGACTGTTGCTGCTCGGGTTCGGAACTAGCCTCGCACTGAGAGATGATGGTTCTGGCGTGGTCTGTAAGAAATCCGATTGGCCTGTCCGCTTCTCGTTAGGAGCTCCGAGCGAGCTAAAGTGTGGCTCTGCGCGAGCTTGTGATGGTTGGCAGAAGCAGCTGAGATTATGACGGCGCAATGTGTTCGGCAAGTAAGGCTGTATGTGTGTGTGTGTGTGTGTGTGTGTTGGTCTCTCGTGGAGGTGGCTCGGCAGTCGAGCAACGTTTTACTCCACGCACGGACGTGAGCTCGCATTTCGGCAAGCAAAAAGGCAAAAGAAAAAAGAAAAAAGAAAAAAAAAAAAAGAAAAAAAAAAAAACCTTATTCTGTGCGGCTTGCTATCCTACATTTCCTTCAGAATCTTTGTCGACCCTCTTTGCTGCCAACACCGCTCAAATCCACTTGTAGAGGTGATAGGTGGTAGGTGGTAGAGAAAAGATGAGCGCTTCCGATATGGCTGTGGACGCCACAAACGGCTTGTCCGTCGGAGGTGACTTTGGAGGAGAAAGATCAGCATCGGCTCTCCCGACGACATGCTCTGCAAATGCGGAAGGGCCGATATCGCAAGAAGGGCTCTTCGACGCACTTTGCCAGGCTCAGAGCAGCTTATCACAGCAATCGCAAGCTTGGGCTGAGATGCATCCTCTCAACACATCACTGCAGTCGCTCTATTCGCCTTGCAACACTGACGGAGAGCTGTCACGCGAGCAGTATCGGCATCTCATTTCTCAGCTTCGTCACTCTGTCTCACGATTTGCGGCAAGGAGTGCTGCTCTCAAATCACAAGGCTCGAACTCTTGTTCGGCGTCGGTGCCGCAGTGTGAAGATGCAAGCACTTCTGCTCAGCTGCACCGATATATCTCGCTGCTCACCGAAACTTCAACACACACCGCAGCACTTGCGCACTCTATCGCGCCGATCAAGTCAGCTGGCCAATCGCAGAAGGAAGCAGCGTTTGGTGAGAATGCTTCGGCTCCCTTGCCACAACGCTTGCAAGCCGGCCTCTTGCGCAGCGGACCTTGCCAAGGGCCTTGTGCTAATCGGCAGGATGCGCTGCAAAACTTGGCAGCCCTCTGCGACACGCTCGAGAAGAGGGCGCAATCTCTTGGTCTCGAAACGTTCTCAGAGCCCTCTTCAGATCCTGCCGCACCACCATCCCATCCACAGTCTGCAGACACACTCACCCACACATTGACGCTCGGAGCCAAGATCCTCGTCATCGATGTCGAGTTCCATATAATCAAGAACAGCGCAGGCCTTGGTTTCCGTCCAAAGTGCAAGTTGAAGCTATCCTATGCAACAGACTCTCCAGATTCCCAGCAGACTCGAGACCCTCGCCTCGGTCTCCTCCTCGAGCAGGAGGTACAGAAAATTGCCGACAATCTCTTTGGCCTCTTTAACAACGCCAATCTTCAACACGACAGGTCTGCTGTCTCGAAAGCTCTTGCAAGCTGGACCAACAACCTCAACGAGCTTCTTCTACTCGATCATCTTGAAGCTCAGGCGAGCCAAGCTGCACCAGCAGGTTCAAGATCTAAAGACCTCTTTGCTGCTATGCAAGAGCTTTGTGCGGCTGTCATCAAGCTATCTCATGCCGAAGCTTCTTCTTTTACTTCCACAGCTTTGCTCGATCGTGGACATGGACTACACCAGCTACACTCCAACAAGCCCTTCCTCCATTCCGTGTTCGCAAAAGACCCAGTATCAAAGCAGGAGTATACAGTGTCGCTCGGCGTGCAAGCGCTCCATCTTCCTGCCGCGAGTCATTCTGCTCCTCGCGCCACCTCGCCTTCATTCCCGCTTTCTGAGGCCGCCAACGATATCCTTGCCGCTTCCGCAACTTCAGATCCGGCCAGATCGTTAGGATCAGTTGCATCGCCGATTGACAAGCAGAAGCGCGTCCCCTTGCACTTTGTTGTTCGATTGTCCCCACCTGTCGTGGTCACCAGGCCGACTGCTGCCAAGCTCGTAGCCATTTGCAACCTCAAACAGGCCACGCCTCACAACGCCGCCGCCGCACCATCCACCGGCGCAACTTGGTTTGAAGACGTATTGGCTTCCTCATGGTCTAGACGACCAAAACATGTTGCCCATCAAGACCTGCGTAAAGCTTCTCGATGCACCTTTACTCTCGCGCAGACAGTCGAAAGCGTTCGCAGCACCGAGTCGCAGGGACTCGTCATTGATTCTTTGCCATTGCTAAGCGCATCCACTGTATCCGCTGATGCTATGGATGAGAGTGACGCCTCACTGCCCCGATCATCTACATTGGCCAGATTCTTTGCCGCTATTGAGGTGCTGCGAGATGAAGTCAAAGTCACCGAGCTCATGCACTCTGCTATCGCCTCCAGTGATGCTACCGCAGACTTGAACAAGCTAAATCAGACCACATCAGACGAGCTCAACCTGGATGATATACTATCTGCAGCATCAGAAGACATGTCGTCCAAGATTCCTGTTACTCTTGCTTTCCGCACACCCGTCCGTGATGCAACGGAAGAGGCCCGTCAATCACTGAGCTTGCAGCTCACCTTCCGCATCCTCGCGGAGGACGGCTCAACCGTCGGCTTCGAGGCCTCCGTCTCGCCATCGAAGCAAGCATCCGAGATTGGCTGGTCGCTCTCCGCTGATGTCAAGCTTCCTTCAGCAGCGGCCTCCAACAGCAAGACAGCTCGTTTGCAAAGCTCGTCGGCAGAAGCTCAGTTCATAGCGTCAAAGCTATCCGACCTGGATTCTCTTGAGGATGTGGTGCTTGGTCTGGCAGACTGGGCCGAGAAGCAATTCGCAGTCCGTCTTAAAAAGCCAGCAGAGACAGCAGCCAGCTTCAACCCGCTGTCGTACGAGCAGCAGAACGTTCATGCGTAAGTGCGTAACTGTTTCCCCCGAACGACTGTTCCTCACACTAGGCCGGAATGGCATCTCATCTGCCTTGATCCTCGACTGACACCTTTGTGACCTTTGCCTCCATCCCGACAGAATCTACGAGACGATCGCACCTCACTTCTCCAGCACACGATACAAACCATGGCCGCTAATTCCTGCATTCTTGAGCACCATCCCAGCCGGCAGTCTGGGAGCCGACCTCGGATGCGGCAATGGCAAGTATCTTCCGATACGATCGACCCTCGCACTGTCTCCTCCCTCCACGTCTGGCGGGCAGGACAAGGGCACGGAGAATCTCGAGGCCTCAAAACGTTTGAACAGCCTCCTCACTTTCGGCGTGGACCGCTCCTCGAACTTGGTCGCTTTAGCGCGCGATAACTTTGGTATGCTCGAAAATGCCAAGTCCAAGCCTACCGGTGGAAAGGATGTAGTGCCATCAACGACAAGGCGTCAGGAGGTCGCAGTTGGAGACGCTATTCATTCATCCCTGCGTACTGGTCTCTTCGACTACGCGATCAGCATTGCCACCATCCATCACTTTTCCACCTGGGAAAGAAGACGTGCTTCTGTGCAGGAGCTCATCCGTCTCATCGAGCCTGTGGATGCATCATCTTCATCTACGAGCGGAGACGGTGGCGAGGCGTCGACGCCGGTCGACCCACGCCTGAAAGGCGGATCCGGTCGCGGCAGGTTCATGATCTTCGTCTGGGCGCTCGAGCAAAAAGATGAAGGCAAACGACAGTTCCAGGCTTGCGATCCTGAGGCTTTGAAGAGCAAGCCAGAGATCGATGACCCCAATCATGCTCAGAAGAGTAAAGATCGTCTCGTGGCATATAGCGGGTTGCAGGCAGCGTCGGCGCAGTCGCTCGAAGCCGAGACAAAGGTCACCGACGACCAAGACGTCCTCGTTCCTTGGGTGCTCACCACCGCCACACCCAAGGCGAGCAAAAAGGTCAAACCTGCATCACCATCCAAGAAGAAGGGCAAGAAAAGTCAAACATCACCTACAGAGGCGGATAGCGGGAGCGTGAAAGAGATCCAAGCCAGCCTCGCTGAGATCAAAGTGGAAGCGAACGACGAAGACAGCAAAGCGGAGACGACAAAAAAGGACGCCGAGCGACCGGTCTACAATCGTTACTATCACATGTTCCGTGCAGGAGAGCTCGAGGCGCTTGTCGCTGATGCAGCAGCCACCATGCCTCTTGTCCACCGTCGTCGAGAACCGAGCGGAAGGAAGGAAAAGGTCGAGGTGGTGAGCGAGGCAAGTGGGTGGGAACGCGGTAACTGGTGGGGAGTTTGGCGGGTTCAGCGGTCGCAATGACGTTTTGTATCTTAGTTGACTCTTACCCCGCCTCGCTTCATTCTCGCAAAGCAACAAGGCATCTGGGTGCGATGAAGGTTCAGTTCCCCCACCGTGATCTTGTGCATGTGCTTCGGACAGAATGACCGGTGTGGGGTTGATGAGGTGTGACGTTGCATATTGGTGGTTCCACCGCTGCTGCGCCTTCATATACCCCGGTCTGTGATGACGAATGTGGGCCTGCTTAGACGTTATGAGACTGACTGAGGGTACAATGCACCAAATCGGCATAGGATTGTTGCATTCAGTTTCGGATGAAGAGGGCCCTGACATTCAAACACGTACGATGACAGATGACCGCGCTCCGTTGAAAAGCAACAGGATAGTTGCAGTTGGGCTAGCTCAAGATTAAGGTTGTTTCGAGCGAAAACCTTGATCCACGCGAAGGTGGCGATGTTGGACAAAATGTTGACGAGCGATCAGCATGGATTACAGTTGCTCGTGATACTCCTCAATGGCACACACACACAAAAGATCAGAAAAGGTGAAGATATAGCTGAGATGGGTATGAGATTGCTTCTGAGATAAAGATAGCGTTTTGAAAAAGCCGAGCTATGCCAAACTGTTGGCTAGCTAATGATGATAAGCAACATGAGAGATACAGTTCATACATCCGTGACAAATGATAATGGAGATCATGAAAAGATCATCTGATCAACACGCATCGAAGCGAGAGATCTAGCAGAAGTGATGAGGAGGAGAGCGAGCGAACCAAGCACCACATGGCTCTAGTACTTCTTCTCGTCGTGGGTGGCAAGCTCGTCGTCCTTGACGGGGACGACACCACCCTCGAGATCGGAGCGGCGAGCGCGGATCTCGGCGTTGGCATGGGACGAGGCGATGGCGCTGGTCTGGGCGTACATCTCGTCGACCTCCTCGAGCGAGAGGAGACGGGTCTCATAAACGAAAAAGTAGGCAAAGATGGCACAACCAGCGCAGGTACCAGTCCAGATGAAGAAGACCTTGGTACCAAGACCAGCGTGGCCGGGACCAGACTGAACGAGGTAAGGGGTGGCAAAGCCGATAGCAAAGTTCCAGAGCCAGTTGGAGGCAGTGCAGAGAGAGAGAGCCTTGGCACGGATGGCGAGAGGGAAGATCTCACCGCAGACGACCCAGGCAGCAGGACCCCAGGTGGAGGCGAAGCCAGCAATGTAGACGCAGACAAAGGCGACGAGCGACTTGCCGGCGGAGGAGTTGGTCGATGGAACGGCGGTACCGACAACGGCGACGATGAGCTCACAGGCGCACATCCAGACGGCACCCCAGATGAGGAGCTTGCGGCGACCGAAGCGCTCCATGCCCCACATGCCTGGAAGAGTGCTAACGACGTTGACGACGTTGTAGATGACCGAGAAGATGAAGGGGTCGGAGTTGGGAAGAGCGTTCTTGGAGAAGGTGGTACCGAAGTAGAAGATGAAGTTGATACCGGTAAGCTGCTGGAAGGCCTGGATGAAGGTACCGGTGAAAGTTCGGAGGAGGTACTTTCGATCGTTGTTCTTGAAGCAGTCGAGGTAAGAGCCAGTGGAGTGGGTGAGCTCGATGTCAAGGTTGGTCTGGATGACCGAGAGCTCGGAGCGGACGAGGGGGTCGTCAACGTCAGTGGAGTTGAGGCGGGCAAGCGACTTGGAGGCACGCTCGTGGTTGCCCTTCTTGACGAGCCAACGGGGGGATTCGGGGAGGACAAGGAAGAAAGCGCAAAGGATGAGAGCAAAAACAAACTGGATACCGACGGGGACACGCCATGCGCTGGTGTTGTCGCGGTTCTGAGTACCGTAAGAAGCAAGCGAGGCGCAAAGGAGACCGATGGTGATAGCCCATTGGTAACCGGAAACAACTGCACCACGGATCCAGCGAGGAGCAGTCTCGGACTGGTACATGGGGACAATAGTGGAGAGAATACCGACACCGAGACCAGCAATGACACGACCACCGATGAAAACACCGAGATCAGTAGTGGCCATCTGCATGATGACACCAACGCAGAAGACGAGGAGAGCAATCTGCATACCCCATCGTCGACCAAGGATGTCGGAAATGGGAGCACCGGCAAGGGCACCGATGAAGGTACCAGCGGAAAGGATCGAGACAACGAGTGAAGTGTCGCTGGTGCTCAAGTCGTAACCGGGCTTGGGGGCACCAGTGGTGTTGGAGGGGACGTTGACGGGGTAGAACTGACCGAAGGTCTGCTTGAAGTTCTCCATGACAAGGAGACCAGAGATGGTACCGGTGTCATAACCGAACAGAACACCACCGAAAGCGGAAGCAGCGGCGACGAGAATAGCGGGAAGCGACTGCCTAACGGTGGCAGGCTTGACCACAGCGGAGGCGTAGCCAGTGTCGACGGGGGCAACAGCACCACCAGCCATCTTGAAAAGATTTAGAGAGAGTGTTGGAGGGAAGGGAGCAGAAGTAATGAGGTGATGGACAAGCTTTAGCCTTGAAGGAAGGGGAAGAACCACGAAGCTTGATGGAGGATGGGGGAACGATGAAGATGAAGAGGTCGAGATGGGGGGTTTATGTAGCCTTGCAAGATGGGACTCGGGGAGGGTGGGCGCTGCGTGAGCTGGTCAACCATAGAAGAAAGGGAAAAAAAAAAGAAAAAAAAAAAGAAAAAGTGTTGACACGCGGGTGTTGTCCAGCTGGAAGGCGAGACGAGTGCGCCCAGAAAGGAAGGGTTCAGGTAGCAAACGACACGAGGGGATCCAAGAGAAACAGGGAGAGACGACCGAATTCGGTAGGCAAACATCCAATCAACACATGGGGGCCCCAAAGCCCATCCACAAAAAAAGTTGAGGGGCCGAATCTGGAGAAAGGCTGCTGTGATGCGAGCAAAAAGGGATGATCCACAAGTGGGGTGGGCAAAAGGGGAAAGGGGGAAAAGGGATAGAAAATAAAGATAAAAATCCTATGAGCCTGCCCCTGGGTCGAGAAACGAGAAACGGGCACCAGAGCAAAGGTTAGCGAATGAACAGTTAAGAATCAAATGAAGATAACAATTAATATACGGCGTTATCGGGGTCACGATCAGACTCCCTTTACCACAGCCGTATGTTCTATGTAATGCTTAGTTTTCATGATGTGAGACTGAATGACAAACACATATATATACTCCATTCACTGCTCTGGTCCTATTCGAGGCAGGATGTGTCTCTTCATTTGTACTCCTGTGTTGCTATGATACCGGGTGCCACTGTGCTGTCACCATGACAACAATTACGTACCTCATTGTACTTCTCGCTTACGTGAGCCTCCCGTGTCTCAATGTCTCGGCCGTAACATGTGCATCTTACTTGAGATGCCGACGCATCTTCAACTCCCCCCTTCGGCGGGATCTCCAGTCCTATCATCCTAGCCAATCGTGAGGTGTTAAGACCCTGTAAGGGTTTTGTCAAGACATCTGCAACATTGTTTGCCGTTCCGACATATTTGATTTCCACATCGCCCTCTTGTACGTGATCGCGAACGAAATGATACCGTGTGTCGATGTGCTTTAACTTCCAATGTTTGGCTGGATCTTTACTCACCTGTATGCACCCCTGGCTATCTGTGTATAGTACGGGCCGAACGTCCGTGGTCTCCAAATCCCAGAGCAAATATGAGAAGAATAAGGTTTCTCGTACCGCTTCGGAAGCGGCGACAAACTCTGCTTCGACTGCCGACAATGCCACACACTTCTGAACGTGTGATTTCCAACTCACTGGACACCCATATACATATGTTATCGACCCCGAGGTGCTTCTTCGTCCATTTGTGGGGTCGGATGCCCAGTTTGCGTCGGTATACGTCGTTACCGGTGTATCCGAGTGCTCGTTTGTCTCCCCTCCTAGGTGCAACTGATATTCGTTCGTTTGGTTCAGGTACTTTACCACGTGGATGGCTGCCTTCCATGCACTGTCGATCGGGATCGACATATATCGCGCCAATACGCCGACGGCAAAGGCAATATCTGGTCGGGCTGTGTTGGAGACCCATAATAGTTGGCCGACCAATTCTTGATACTTCTTTGCTCGCTGAGGTTCACATCGCTCGCCTCCGGCAACGTTCGCTACACTCAGCATGGGTACCCAAGATTTCTCGTTTGCTCCTCCTAACCATTTGTTCACCATTTCCTTGATGTATGCCGTTAGACCCAGAGATATCCTCCTCCGTCTTCTATCACGTGTGATCTTGATACCCAGAAATTCTTTGACCCTTCCATTGTCTTGCGTCTCCCATTTGTCCATGATCTCTCGCTTTGCGCGATCTACTTCATCACGACTGGGTGATGTTATTAGCATGTCGTCCACGTATGCTGTGATGATCGTGATCTTGTCGCCTGTCCCTCTTGAGTATAGGCATGGTGCGCTCGGCATGCAATGGAATCCGATCGTCCGGAGATGTGAGTCTAACTCAATGTTCCATTCTCGGCCCGATTGTTTCAGACCGTACAGTCCTTTCACTACCTTCAACACTTTTCCGGGTGGCATTTCGATTCCTACTGGGGGCTTGAGGTATACATCATGGTGTATAGTGGAGTTCAGGTACGCTTGCTTTACGTCGATAGAATCCATTTCCCAATCTCGTACTGCTGCGACAGCGATCACCCCTCGAATGGATTGGATGGGTGCTACTGGTGCGAAGACCTCTGTATAGTCGATGCCCTCGCGTTGAGTGAAACCTCGTGCCACGAGCCGGGCTTTGAACTTTGTCGGCACGAGGTTTGCATCGGTTTTGATCTTGAGTACCCAACGTGTGTCGACAGTATTTGCACCCTTTGGGAGGTCGACTATCTCCCATGTGCCCATCGCCTCCAATCCATCCAGCTCCTTTCGCATGGCCTCCTCCCAGTGTTTTCTGTCCTTTCCACTCATTGCTTCATGTATGGTTGGGTCCAGGTTCTTTCTCCATTCCGGTCGCATCGCTACGAGTCCATAGAATTCGCTGTCAATTTGAGTTTCGGCGATTGGTCCTTGTTCCATCACCTCCGCTGTTCCTTCGCTTAATCTTTCTTCCGAATCTGTCTCCATATCCATGTATTCTCGTAGTGGCTCTTCATCTGTTTCGTCGAATATATTTTCCTTATTGTATCCTAGATCTTCGAAATTTTCCTCTGTCATCATCATTGGGGGTGCCTTTGTGTCAACCGGTCGCCACTCTGTTCTGTCTGACCAGCACTTTGATTCCATGAATTTTGCTGAGTTGCTCCAGAAGATGTTCGGATTGTAGTCCAGGCTGTAGAAGAGCCAGCCCTTCCTTTCTAGACTGTACCCTAAGAAAATGGATGCGACGGCTCGCTGGTCCAGTTTCTTGTTGTCCCGTTTAACTTTGGGTACGTTTACCCATGCCAGACAACCAAACACTCGTAGGAGCTTTAAAGCTCGTTCCGGCGACTTGCCAAACATCGCTTGATAAGGGAATTCATTATCAACGCTCGGAGTGAGGTTTATTTTGAACGCCGCAGCTCTGATCGCGTATGGCCAGAACTTCTTCGGTAGTCTCCTCTGCATTAGCAACGTTCTCATCTTCTCTCCAAGGGTCCTGTTCATTCTTTCTACCCGTCCATTTTGTTTGCTGTTGTACCCTACGGTGGTTTGCCACTCTATGCCCTTTTCTAACGACCATTCTAATGCATCATTGCTTTTCCATTCCGTTCCTTGATTGGATCGGATCGCTTTTAGCTTCCGATCCGTCTGTGTCTCCAGGAACGAAACAATCCTTTTAAGTTGCATAAAGGCATGACTCTTTTGTGTCAATGGCTGTGCATACACATACTTGCTATGATTGTCGACCAGCACCAACATGCATGTGTACTCCGTCACGTGGGATGAGTCTATTATTAGATCGACGTGGATAAGATCCAGGGGCCCTACGGCTCTTTCGCCGCTACCTTTCCCCATCTGAGTGCTTGTGCTCTTGGATCGTACGCACTGCTCACATGTCAGAGCAGTGTTTGGATCCAATTTCATGGTATGCTTATCCTTTAACTTGCTTGTGATCGCCTTAGCTTTATCTCTTCCTGGGTGCCCGAGATGCTCATGCCATAGTTGTTGCTTTGAAACTTTCGGCTCATTCTCAATATGCTCGAACTCCTCATCAACACCTTCAAACAATGGTGCTGATGTGGCCATCGCGCTTTCTTGCCATGTGTCGCCTCGGAACTCCAGAAGTCCTCGCTCGCGATTCTTTGCAATCTTAAGTGTCATGCCGTTTGTTAGAAAAATTTGGCCGCCGGTTGTGTCCAATATCACTCGTGCTCCTTCATCCGTTAATGAATTTGTTGACAGAAGGTTAACATTAAGGTGCTTTACATACAATACATTTTGCAGAGAGATTTCCCCGTAATCTGTTGATATGCTTGCATCTCCTATAGCTGCCGCTTCCAAGACCTCGCTTCCGGCGGTAATTATCCGCTTTCGGCAAGTTCTCGGGTGGATGAGCATGCTGTAGTCGTTCACCATATGGTAACTCGCCCCCGAGTCCAAGATCCAATGAGCTGTTTCTTTTGTGTTCGAGGGGTCCTGCCATTTCATTGGGAGGGTGAGGGAGCACCACGCTTCCTATTTAGGTTCAGCGAGGGGGGAGTCCTTGGGAATGGTAACCAAGGCGTCGCATTGACTGATACCATGTCCCGGTCGCTTGCAGACCCAGCATCGGATTCGGCGTGACTTGCTTGCGTTCCTCGAGCTCGTGTGGCTGTTGTCGGCTTCGGCTTCGGTCTCTCCGGCCCGTTCGTTTTGATCGTCGTTGCCGGCGGTTCTAGCACTGGCTTGTCGAGGGTCGATCCTTTGTGCGGGGACGCTCTCGACAGCGGTCTGCCGGATGCTTAGTGCGGTGGCAAGGGCGTTGAAATCGATTTGATGGACGGTGGCAACCGTCTCCTTGTACACCGGATGCCGGATCGTGCATTTCTGCAGAGCCGAGAACAATGTATCATCGGCGAATGGTTTGCCGAGGAGGCTGCTTTCGGTTTGTATGGACCGGATCTCTTGAATTAGCTTTCTGGCGTCCGAGTTAAACATCTTTGTATCGTTGAGTTGCGAGATAAGCGCAAGTCTGTGAGACGTCTTGGTGGCTTCATTCGTGAGACCGTTTTCGATCTTTCTCCACACTTGGTTGAAAGTAAGGTACTCCTTGATTACATCTAGAACGAGGTAATTTACATTGTGTTCTCCGGTAGTGTCGATTGTTCCACGCAGGGCGTTGATTAAAGCATCGTCGAGGGAGCGGCTCCATTTCGGGTGTTTCTTGTCGTACGTTCCCTCGAGATGTTTCATCGCATGAGGCACGGATCGGAGGAAAGATTTCACGTGGGCGCTCCAGCTATGATAGTTTCGTGACGTGAGCTTTGGCACGGGTTCGAGGAGCTTTGCTAGGGTGCGAAAGTTAT